TACTGAGAAAAATGGTGATGTGTTCAATACTTATTTTACCCGCTGTATGTGCCAATGTGACTGTCATGTAAACAGGCAGATCGGATGTTCTGAGGCATTGCGTTCTGTTCGTCATTAAAACTGCGACAATTTGGAACTTCTCCGTGTTTTAATGATGTCATATTATTCTTTAAGCGCAATGTTTTAGATGGTATGGAAAGTGTAACCACATGAACCGAATTAGGGTCAAAATTGAAAGAACGTGTAAACAGACGGTAAAAAAAATCAGATATAGGCAACAAATCAGAATTGGGCATCAAGACCTGGAGTGTAAACGAGGTCTTAGTCACCAAATCAAAACCCAAATGAGAACCTCGAAATTTGTACATTTGGCAATAATTTTGTTTATGGGGTCAGAGGTCACACTCCTGCTGAATCAGATGTGCATTTGCTGGAGGTTGCCCGGAAAATGGACATGTACGGGATCCGCCCTCACCCTGCCCATGATGGAGAAGGCATGAGGATCAACCTCGCTGTCACACATATGGGAGTACTCGTTTATCAGGTAAAATACAAAAATATATGCTTACGCTTTAGCCTTCTAATTGAAAAAAAAAAAAATACAAAATACGCATAAAACCAAATATACACAGCAACCTTAAATGCAGCTTAGAAATTTCAACTCTCTTACATGTTTATGTCATTATCAGGGAAACACAAAGATCAATACCTTCAGCTGGGCCAAAATCCGAAAGCTGAGCTTCAAGAGGAAACATTTCCTCATCAAACTCCACACTGAGACTGGGGTGAGACACAAATGATCCCTCCATAGCAACAGCTGTTTTTACATTGGAATCTGTGGGGAAAAGAATACAATAGTTCCTCAGCAACATTTGAAATAATCTTTCTCATTATGTATTATATCTGCAGCGCCTGTGCTGACTTCTAGATTTACATTTAGTCATTTAGTACACACTTTTATACAAAGCTGGCAAACTTACAAATGAGGAACAGCACAAGCAATTTATCATGAGAGACAACAGTATGATATAAAATAAAAGAAAGATAAACAACATAAAATGCAAGAAATGCAACATAAAAAAACACAACTTTTGTTTATCATCCTAAATAATCCACACCAATGAAGTGGTAAAATGTCAGATATTTTATATTGACGATTTCCATAAAAATAGGATTGTATTTCTAATAAGAAAGCATAAGGATGAAAGCATTAAATTTGAGGCTGAAAATGCTTTAACGTTCAACAAAATGAAAACTGCATGGAATGTTTAGTACTATCCTCATCTGTCATTCACTCAACTCTTATTGTGTTAGCCTTCAAGGAGAGACACTGTTGAATTTTCCATGGCCAGCAGAGATGTGTGTAAGGCATTCTGGAAGATGTGTGTGGAGTATCATGCTTTCTTCAGACTTGCCGAAGAGCCCAAGTCACATCAAAGGTCCATTCTGTCCAGCAAAGGATCCAGTTTCAGATACAGGTATGTGACAGGCAGACTTTAGATTTTGTGAAATGCAATGAGAAGCCCCAGTTGTCTAATACTTTATGCTATGATCCTTCCCAATCATCTTCCATAAACCCTCTGAGAGATTGTAATGAGGATATTAAACAGAGTAGTTCTAATCTTCTTTGCTAAACACACAACAAGAGACTTTAGTCATTGGTTTATATGTATGAAAGTGCTTTCACTCTGACAGCGACTTTACTGAGAGCTGATAATAACTGGCAAATTGAGCGATGGTAATCATTGGCAACACAAAGTGGGTGTGTCTAGCGATATGACAAAGTTGAGAAAAGTTAAACACCGATGTGGCAATATGATCAGATACTATAGTTGAGTGTAGGCTTGATGCAGAAGTTAATGTCACTGTGAGTGATTTCAGTCTTCTGTATAATATATCTCTGCACACATACAGCAGTATAATAAAAATAATATGTGGAAACCATGTCAGAAACGGTCAGCATTCTGAGCAAGTTTGATTCATGTATTGACAATCATTGATCTTGTTCAGCATATGGTGCATCATGCACAGATGGATTTTATATACAAATGAGAATATTCATTTTTAACTGCACAAAAACGGATCAATTGTCAAAATAAAATAGCATCTTGTTTTTACAGTAATATACACTACAGTTCGAAAGTTTCATACTTCGTTCTACAAGGATGCCTTAAATTGATCACAAAATGACAGTAAGGACATTTACATTGTTCAAAAAACTATTTAAAATAAATCCAGTTCTTTTGAACTTTCTATTCATCAAAGGATCCTGAAAAAATTTTTGCATTGTTTCCACAAAAAAAAAAAAAAATTAAGAAGCACTGTTGTCAACATTAATAATAATGTTTCTTAAGCAAAAAATCAGCTTATTAGAACAATTTTTGAAGGATCACGTGCCATTGAAGACTGGAGTAAACAATGCTGAAAATCCAGCTTAATGACATGAATAAATAAAAATAGAAAGGTTATTTTAAATTGCAATAATGATTCACAATATTGCTTCTTTTACTGTATTTGATCAAATAAATGCAGCCTTTGTGAGCATAAAAGACTTCTTTCAAATGAACCCAAATACCAACCCATCTGTAATCAAATTTTTAAAAGCTCTGGCCAGTTATGCAGCCCACAAATAATTTTAGGGCATCCAATGGCAGAAAATTAAAATATTCTATAAAATCACTGTCAGTGTGAACAAGGCTTGATGATATATTTTTTGATCAGTAACAGTTGTCTCTTTTTATTCTTGCGATTGTGGTATTGTAGTGGCAGGACACAGAAGCAACTTCTGGAGTGCGTAGGCTCTAGAGACAAGAAACATTTGCCTTTTGAAAGGTAAGATGTTACGCTGGGTATTGTATGTTATGGGAATACATTTGTGCATAAATTGTACGTGTAGTTTCTAAGCCACTAATGGGAATACTCGGAATAGCAAAAATTATACAATTGTCTTCTGTTGGCTTAGACAATTAGGTAGTCCTGAACTAACACCAATGGTTGAGTCAACATTACTACGTTGAGCCACTCAAACAAAGGCCCACATGAGCACACATATGAAACATAAAACGTCAAATAGGACACCCTACAGTGTCATGAACGGACAAGTGATGACCATTTCAAGTCCACAAGACCACAGGTACACATCAGGTACACATCAAGTGCACCATTTGGGATTATATTACCAACAGAACAATATCAAATGCATCACAGATTTTACATCTACACTCTCAGAAAAAGGTACAAAAGCTGTCCCTGTGGCAGTACCCTTTCAAAAGGCACTAATATGTAACATTTACATACTAATTTGTATAATTTAGGTACAAATCTGTACCTTTAAGGTACTAAAATGCACCTTTTATGATTAAATAAGGTACCACGGTGTACCCTTTGAAAGGGTGCTATCCCAGTGACCGCTTTTGTACCTTTTTTTATGAGAGTGTAGGGCATATCAACCTACAAATGGTTTAAAGTTGTCTTTGAACATTAAACTGCAATGTGTTTTAACATTTTAGTTACAGGAACAGAGCCTTTAGGGAATTGGACAGTGCTGTAGGGGTTTGTTTTCACTGCATCTACAGCCTGTTTTGCACTTTTTTTTTTCAGAAGTTACTGCAAGTCTGAATATGACACGAGACAGTGCCGATCCTCTCCTGACATACTGACTGACGTCTCCAAGCAGGTATTGTACTAGTTACTTACATTTCGGTTGTGTTTTTGGATCGTGTTTCTCACATTTGTTTCTTCCTCACATAGCTGTACGAGCATCTACCTCCCGACCCAACTGTTGCTGGGCAACACAGTGAACAGACAGGCGTAGCAAAGCGCAGCCTATCCGCTGTGGAAGTCATGTTCGCTAATGAGCTGGAACGATCCAGGCCCTTGTCACGAAATCCTGCCTTCTCAAGCAACTCTGCCTCGCCCAAGCTCCGTTCCCTTTCCACATCAGGAGCAGAACATCGTAGTAGAGGAGCTCAGAGACAAAAGGCAAAGAGACGATTGTCTCCTAGTGCCCAGCATCTTGTGCTCCTCTATCCTAACACACCCCATCTACAGTTCCACCCAGTGCTGCCAACCTTCCCACTCGCCACTCATCCGTACCTACTGCAAGACCACACGTCCTCATCCCTAGACCGACTCCCTCAAACCCATCACAACCATGTGCCTCTGCAATACTTGCCCAGACAAATTGTTCATTCATCATTACCGTCCTCTTGCTTGTCGCCACAACTACAAAAGCAGCAGGAAAGGTTCTGTCCCGCCAGCCAGGGAGAATCGAGACTGTACCCCAGAGGAGGACTAGGACTAAGGGTTGGGTTGAATAGGAAATTGGACATGAGTGGAGTGGAAGCGGGCCATTACAGCGATGACTCCACCTTTCAGACCGGCTTGCCGCGTCGAGCCTCAAGCCAACCAGACTTCAAATTCCAGCGACTTACACTTGCCTCCAACGCCGCTGCCTATGCATCCGAGTATCGCCCTCTGGGATATTATCCACACCTTTCTCGACACCAGGTTCCTACCAGGCCCACCTACCTTCCTCTACGTCCCGCACCACTCCCTGAAAGACCCACTTCTTTATGCGTTCTCGGCACAGGTAGTTATAGTGATTCAGATTCAGACACTTTCTACCCCTACTTTCCTGCACTGGGTAAAGTGGTGCATTCTGGTCCGCTGGCACGAATGCGCTTTTCTTCTGGAAGCCTCCAACTTGATGAAGAGGATGGAGAGGAAGAGGACTTGGACTGCCCGAATGATGAGGAGAACAAAACTCTCGCCACTGTTAAGGTGCTGAAGTTGTAGCCATGGGCAGAATCGTGACTGATGGGGCTCAACAAATAATATGTGACCCTGGACCACAAAACCTTAAGTCGCTTGGGTATATTTTTAGCAATAGCCAATGGGTCAAAATTATCAATTTTTCTTTTATGACAAAAATCATTAGGATATTAAGTAAAGATCATGCGTTTTGAAATAATGAACTCTAAAAATGCTTTTATTCTTACAATCAATCCTGCAGTCGTTATAATGCAGATCAAGCACAGCAGGAAACATATCAAACTCCGCTTTCTAGGGTACCTCTGGCCAATCGATGAACTGTATGGATGAAAAGAATGGAATGACATGCCAATATTTTACTTGCAGCCAGTGAATGTAACTGCTGGTGCTAAATAGAGGAAGGTCTATGGATAATAATTAACATACACTTTTCTGCAGTGTGGACAGCGAGCCAATGTCCGATCTGTAAATTCTGTCCACTAAATCAACAACAGAGAGACATCGAGTCACAGCTATATTAAGGCTATTATTAGGGCAAATGAAATGATAAAGAGCTTTAAAATATTGCAAACGTGCATGAATATGAAAAGTTCTTACCAGAAAAGTGTTTCCACAGTGGCCACAGGAAACTCTGGCACCACTAGGCTGAGGATTCGGACTCCCAGCACCAGGATATCAAAAAAAAAAAAAAAGACACACATGTACACACAAAAACGTGAAATAACAGAATTTCTGGAAACTCATAATTAAAACTAATAAGAAAAACACTATAAATTTCATTGCACAACAACCTCTGGGCATTTAATCATATCAAATCAAAAATCTTTAATGTCATTAAAATCTTTAATATCATAATTATCTCCCGACTTATCTACTAAAGTCCACTAATAAAAAACTAAACAAAACATGTTTTTGAATATACGCTACTGTTCAAAACTTCTGTGGTGATAACATTTTTGAAAGAAGTCTCTTGTTCCCACCAAGGCTGCATTTATTTAATCACAAATACAGCAAAATCATCAACAATCTATTTTCATAAAAATATTTTCATTAATTTATGTGATGGCAAAGCTGAACTGCATCCATTATTACTATTCAAAATAACTGTTTATAACTATATATTTATTGATATATTTAGTGGAAGCCTATGTCTTTTTCAGGATTCTTTGATGAAGAAAAGTTTAAAAGAACAGTTAAAAAAACTATATATACTGTATGTATATATATATATATATATATATATATATATCTGATACCCTGTTCCATGGTGTGTTCCTAACCTAATACTTTGTTGTAAGGCTTATGAAGGATGGTAATGTCTCTCACCAGTAAGGTCGAGGGCAGGCAATCCTCTGCGAGGTGACTTTGCAGATGAGAAGACAATTACACGGACACCTCACATATTTCTTTCCTGCTGGAGCATTCTTTATGGGCTAGATAAAACAGGAAGTGATATCACAGTCTGAACTTTCATTTAAATCTAGTACAGTTTTCAAACAAATATTGCACATAATATTAGGTATGTCTGATGACTGGAATCCTAAATGAAATGTGCTTGTTAACTCACTGTAGCCTCATTGCAGACGCCGCATTTGACCACATGCTGGTGGATTTTACCCTCCACACTAATAAGCGACTGACACACTCTGCAGCTGATGACAGGAGCACTGCCGCTCTCCGGAGAGCCCAGCGGGGAGTACGGTGGAGGAGCTTCTCCCAGCATCGATGCGGGAGGAGCTGACGGGAACGCTGGGAAATCTGGGATGGAGAGAGAGCAGGAGAGATGATGTAAGGAGACGGCAGAGAGAGAAAGAGAGGAAAAAGAAAATGATGATTGTACTACATTTAGCAATTGACATGCAAATGAAATATTAAATGTATAAGGTTAAGACTAACATTTTTTGCATCAAATAGAACTCATTACTAATAATATTATTTAAATAAATATATGTAGGTTGCCTGTGACAATGAAAAGAAATTAAAACGAATTAATTAAAATAAATTCATTTTTAATTAAAATATTTGCATTGCAACAGAGGGAATTTTTTAACCAATATCAGAATGTAAACTACGAAAGCCAGTCTTTATCTTGCAATTCCGAACTTACAATTGTGAGAAAATTGTGAGTCAGAATTGTAAGATAAAAAGATAAAATGTTGTAAGAGAAAAAGAGAAAAATTTATTTCGCCTTTTTTACTTTTTATTTCATGGCAGAATCAACCTTCCATACAAACGGGTAAGAACAATGCTTTAAAAAACAATACTTTACACAACATTAATGAATACACTTACGCTAATAGATTTACACTAACAGATATGGCCTCCAAACTTTTTACTTAAATTATACATTAAGTTTATATAAATTATAAATATACATAAGTACAATACTAAAACAGTAAGATTGTTTGCAATTGATAATTCAAAAATATTATTATCTAAATAAACATTACAAAAACATTATGTAAATAAATACATCAACATAATAAGTAAATAAATATTTACAAAATATTCAACATCAATACAAACCCTAACCTAACATTATCCCTTCATTACTAACCATATTCACTTTTTAATTAATTTTATTGCCATTTATACGCACTGTTTGAGCAAAGCAAAGAAAATGGATTTGTTACACAGAGCAATATTGTGTAGTTAGGTACTCAACATTTTTACAAATGGTCAACAATTTTAACTTGTATTATTTCTCAGTCTGAGCCAGAGCCAATAGTACTTAAACTGAGGGCAAAAATCATGATTCCTTAAATCATGTGATTCAGGTGCACTGTCTAATCTGCCACTAATCTATTTGTAGTGTGCTCAGGATCTGCAGATTACAGATTACGGCAAATTAAATCACATGGTCAAAATATGCACACACTGTGCTGTGCTCTAAATAAATCAAAATAAAAGTAATAAATAATAAATGCCTAGCTAGTCAGCATGTGAGCGTGGGCATCACAGGCGCGTTCGAACGCTCCAATCGAATTGAAACGAATCGAGTCGTACGTTCGAATTCGTTACGATGCCCAAAAAATGCTGTGGACAGGTAGACGGCTCCAAAAGCGTTCTGTCAATGCGGGTCAGGTTTGACTCACTCTGTGGTTTGCTCGGAGGTCGGTAGGGCTCATATCCCGGTGACAGCCCGTTCATTCCATCGCGACTGTCCGACAGCAAAGGCGATCGCTCACCGTCAGCCATGCCGTAAACGAACGCAAAATCCCACGGTGGATTTAGGGTTTGCTGCTAGGCAATGTTGTTGCGGAGAGCAAAAGTGATGCGTGAAAGTAAGGCTCCAGGAAGCGTCACATGATCACATTATTTTTTTTGCTACCGGGAAGTCGACAACAAAAATAACAGACACGTGATCAAGGATTGGGCCAGTAAGCGACGAGCTCAGGATTGAAAAATTAATGATCCCTTTTTAATTAGCTCTTACTCAGTAAGGTGTGCTGTGCATCCAGTGAAATATTAATGTTAACCACTACCTAAACACGCCTTTATAAAAGCTGCCTGTTTTAGAGATTGTTACATTGTGCGCAAAACTAAATCCTAATTTTATTAGTCACGTTATTTAATTACTCTATATAATAACAAATACAAATAATAACATTAAATACAAATAATAAACATTAAATAACATTTGTGTGTGCGTTCTTATGCACGCACGCGCACACACACACACACACACACACACACACACATTTATCACTACTGGGTTATTTCCACTCAAACTTGGAATTTTCAAGCGAAAAACCAGATTATGAAAAGATGTCTTTTACTTCACATAAATCAGAGCAGCATTAGACACAAACAATCCACAGATAAATTACAATAAATATCAAATTAAACATTATCAATATACATGTTCATCTGTAATGTACACACATACCTCAAGCTGTCCATAAAACAGCAAAAACATTAACATTTCAAACAAAACAAAACCAAGCACTTCAACAAAAGTAGTCCAGTACCCTGAAAATGCAGCAACACTTTTGTCAGAAATTAAAGTTATAAAATACATCTTTATTTACAATCCTTATGTAAAATGGAGTACAGTCCATGTACTCAAACACACACAATAATAACAAAATGAATGATGGTGCATCCTATTGCATTTACCTGAAATAAAGTCAACATAGCTGACCTTGCGAGTGTGTCCTCATGTCCATTAAAGCCAATCAATGGTTATGTAACAAAATATATACTGGTTACAGGTTAAGATACTGCTTCAGTAACTTTAAACAAGATACTAATGAGAGAAAACTGACTAATCCTCATAATTAATATTATATTAAAAAATTTAAAACCAATAAATGTCCTGGGTTACATGAAGAGAAATCATTTAGATGAACAGAGAAAGGAAAAAGATCCAGGTTTGTAGAAGTACCTTGTATTTGTATGTGTGTGTGTGTGTGTGTGTGTGTGAGAGAAGCAGCAAGCAGAAGTCACACTCACACAGCAGCACTCTTCCTTCATCATAGCTGAATTTGCACCTCAGTAACATAATATTCAGTGTCCTACACATGATGCGATACTGATGAAACGTTCAAAGGAACCGATGGAAAACTGGTTAGTGTTACACATTGTAATCAGGAAGTGCTGAATAACTGATGCCGCCAACAGAAGGTGGGGAGGAATGGAGTGGGAACAACCAACATATTATAGAACCTGTAAATATAAGAGAAATACAAGCGGAAAAACAATTATTCTGTACACAGCTATTCAAAAGTGTGGGGTCACTTTTTTTTAAGAATTCATTTTATTCAGTAAGGATGCATTACATTTATTAAAAGTGACAGTAAAGACATTTATAATGTTACAAAAGGTTTCTATTTCAAATAAATTGTTATTTTGAACTTTCTATTCATTCAAAGAATCATAAAAAATAAATTATTTTCCACAAGCAGGAGATGTGTGTTCAACATTGATATTAATGAGAATTGTTTCTTGAGCAGCAAATCAGCGTATTAGAATGATTTCTGAATGATGTGACAGAAGACCGGAGTAATGATGCTAAAAATTCTGCTTTGCATCACAGGGATATATTACATCTTAAAATATAAAACTATTATTTTAAATTATAGTAATATTTCACTAAATTACTGATTTTACTGTATTTTTTTCCCCTCAAATAAATGCAGCCTTGGTGAATATAAGAGACTTTGAAAAACATTTACAAAAATACACATTTTTGTTTTGTTTTGTTTTAAATAATGTAAAACATATGATTTCTCAATGCTTTGGATTTGTAACAGTACCAGTGATGCAATTCTAACAACAGGCTTGCAGGATCAAAACAAGACGCTGTAAATAAACAGCATTAAACTCACCACGTCCGAAAACCTCCCTCAGCAATGCAATTTTGGGCTTTCTTGTGTGTGTAATGTGTGTTGGGTGGGTGTTGTTGGGTTTATCTTTCATTAGTCTGTTCCTCATCTGTTCAATGGGCGTCTCATCTGTTATAATGGACACCAGCTTGGGACAAAAACAACAGAGAGACAGGAGATGACAGATCAACACATGCAAAAAAAAAAAACATTTAAATTTCAACAATTAATTACATAAATAAGATTTGCATTTTCTGAAGAAAATACTAGTGTTTAGAAAGCAGAAAAAGAATAGTGTTAAAGTTTTATGCATGATTAAGTTTAGACTTTAGTTTAAAAAGAGACACTTTGCATTAATCATGGTATTCACTCTATCAGGTGGCAAAAGATGTTTAAATTAATTAAATGATTCAGATAAATGCAAAATGACAAGCAGTAGCAATTCAATATGAAATATTACAATTGTGGCATTGCTGTTTATTATAATGTTAACATATAGTCCAAAATTAGGAACTATATAATGTTGAAGCATACCTGGTCATAAAATATCACCAAGACAAAAACTCCAAAAAGTATCGACTCCACCAGCAAAATGATATAATGTGCCCTGTAGAACAAGTGACCAAGAACAGTGTGAGAGAAGCGAAAAGCTAACAAAAGAACATTAATCTTAAAGGGGTCATATGATGCAATTTCAAGTTTTCCTTTCTCTTTGGAGTGTTACAAGCTGATTGTGCATAGATAAGATC